CCTCAGCCATTTAAGTGTCAAGCTTTGTCTGTTGTACTACCTAGCATATAACTTCCAGACTAAGATTGACGCTCTATCCGAGGTCAAGCTCCCAACGATGACGTCAATAACTCCAACTAGGGGTGATGGACCTAGGGCCTGGCCTATAGTTGTTGCTACAAGGGTGAGGCGCTAGCATTTCCCCCGACGTACTCCTTCAGGTGCCCGCAGCGGATGAGGGACTCGATCTTATTCTTGAGTTCATGGCAGTCCTCAGTGTCGTGGTCGATGCCGTGGTGGTACATGCAGTACTTCTTGGGGTTACCTCTCTTTGGATTCCTCTTCATCTTGGCTAGCCACCTCATGTATTCCTCCTTCCATACTTAAATTAGTATATGTATTCGGGTGGAGTTCAGTGGCATATATTTGTTGAAGGAAGGGGTCAACGACTTTTTCTCATTGTCTTTGTTGGTGTGGTCATGGCCACAACCTTCCCTTTCCTTCCTCTTCTTGTTCGTGGCCCCTCGGCTGGGCTTGGCCTCTGGTTCCTGGAGACGTTGGCTGGCTTCGGCCTCCTCGGCGGTAATGTATTTTTGTACCCTTTTTCAAGAACTCGGCCTAGTTCCTAGGCAAAGTCTTGGAGATGGATCATCTGAGGTGTTTAGGCCAGAGGCCGTTGATGGCTTCATGCATGGAGACCAAGGGGTCAAGATCCCTTACTTCAAGCTCTTCATGCTTGAATTGATCTATGTACGCCCGAAGACTTGCCCCACACTTTTGCTTGATGGACATTAGGGAAATGATAGTCTTCCGACACTCTCAGCTACTGACAAAGTGGGAGAGGAAGAGATCTGCAAACTGGTCCTAGGAGTTGACGAAGTGGGAGCCTTGAAGTGAGGTGGGAGCGATTTTGAGGTAATGGAGTCGATTAAGGCATCCATCCGGGTATATGAGGGGTTCTGACTGGTGGAGGCATCATGTCGGCCCTCCTTCACTTGCTGAATCTAATCTTGGATGGCGCCTATCTACGCCTGAAGTTCACCGAGACGTCGGTCGATGGGGGCTTGGACCTTGTCCAGGTTCTCTTTCACATGAGACGGGTTTGCCCTGTTTCCGGAGTGCTCGAATGCTGACACATCCTAAGCCTTACGAGCTTAGTGATCATTGAGGAGATCATGAAGATCACATACTGGTGAGGGAAAGGCATAGCATCAGCCTCCAGCCCTCGGAGGAGGACTGTAGTGGCCAGAGCGCCCACCATCGTCCTGATTTCTCTCTACGGGGTGATGTTGGCAATCGTGGTCCATGTGGTTATCGTGGGACCCCACTGGTTTGCCTCTTCGGGTGGGGAGCCAAGAGTCTTCGACGGGGGATTGTTGGCTCGTTGGCTACTGTTGTTGGACGTTGAGGGGTCGGCCTTCCCTTGGCCGATCGGGCATTGGCCTAGTGGTGCATGGGTGGATCATCCACTATATTGCCCCTAGCTTCTGACGGGGCAGCCACCCTATAGTGCGACCTCCTATCAGATGTCCTATCTCATCCAACCTCTAGGCTAGGTTGTCCAACCTGTCAAGGACCAGCTTGAATTGGTCCATCGTGACTAGGTTCTAAGCGCTATGAGTGTGGTCTTGCTTATCGACCATGTCGGAAACTTGATAGATTAAGTTAAGTTGTTTTTAAAGGGAAATCTTGAAAATGTCCCCACAAACAACACCTTGTTGCTACCAAATTTGATGTCGACAAAGGGCAATAAGGAGATTTCACGGGTATCCAAGGCCGACATGTCCGACTTGTAAACAAGAGAAGAGCACACATTAGAGGCCCCGAGCGTTATCCCAAGGGTGGAGACTCCGACGGTCAAGTTAACCAAGTGCTTAAGAGGGGTCAGACTAGGATAGAGACAAGGGGTCAGAGCTTAGTCCTTAATAGGCAAGAATGATTCTCTTAGGATTCTGAATGTAATTTCCTTACCTTGAGATGAGCAACCCCTTTTATAGCTAACATTGCCTTGGAGTGGTTGGAAGCAGTTGATGATGTGCAACTAGGATTTGATGTGGCCGATGCCACATGGCACGATCCGAGACCCACCAAGTATCCCTACATCAATCTAGAACACCATGATGAATCTTATGATGATCTAGAATACATGATAACATCTTCTTGGATATAAAAATAATCCATCCATATTAGAATGAAGAATTAGAAGATTCCTAATAAGACTTGCCACGTAGAAATTTCCTAAAATGTTTAAACTCTTTGACTACCCAAGGAGTGTTTGGTATCATTGTGTATGAAAGTCACTTTTAGGCCCCATTCATTTTTTTAGGTAAGTTGGGGGAGGAAGGAAGTTGACCAACCTTACCATGTTATTTTTAAGGTAAATGTGGAACTCATGGTAATTGTACTTTCTTCGAGATAAGTTTTTTGGCCAATTACATGTCCGGTAGCCTCTTAACCTTCCTCCAAGTGGGAACGTTACCTTCCCACCTAGGGTAAAGATGCTAAAATTTTAAGGATAAATTATAAGGGCCCCCTATGCTATGACGTCAGTGACAATTACCCCCTAAATTTCATTTATGATAAAGACCCCTTGAACTTTCACTTTGTGACAAATACCTCCCCATTGGCGTTCCTTCAATTAATTTCAGAAAAAAAAAATATTTTCATTCCACTATTTAAATTTTTCTAAATATCCAAATTACCCTTAATCCATGTTTTGTTTTTAAATTTTGCCTCCTAAACCTTAACCATTTTGTTGACTTATTATCTGACCTCAAAACCCATGGTTTGTTGAGCTGTATGTATTTTTTGACGATAAGTGATGGAGGTACATCAACAAGCTTCAATTCATTCTTTTTTCCACGATGGCAACAAGCTTCAATTAACTCATGTTCCCCTACGATGACAAAGAAACGATGGGTTATTTCTTCTCCACCGACAACGTAACAAATGCGGAGATTTTTCATGAGAGATGTTTTCCTTCTTTGATGACATCCAAAATAAGAGCTTCTTCACAAGTGAGATGACAGAAGTATTTTCCATGAAGAAGAGATAAGTATTTTGGTATCATCCGACTTAACGACTAATGCGTTTGTTGCAAAGTGAAAGTTTAGCGAGGTCAAGACGGTAATTGTACTGACACCATAATAGAGGGGGTCCTTGTCACAAATGATAGTTCCAAGGGTAATTGATAATTGTCACTGACCCGTCCCTATAATTTACCCAAAATTTAATGAGAAAAAAAAAATAGCCATAAAATAGGTGGTAAGAACAAAAAGGGAAATATATCATTTCGACATTTCTTGCTAAGAGGTGTTGTGTGGGTATTTTCTCTTATATGATTTATTTGAAAACAAATAGGGCCTTAGGGGAATTACCATTTAAACATTTCTTGCTCAGGCTTTGTGTGAGTCTTTTCTCTTATGTGGTGAATGGTGCCTACTGGCACACACATGTAATAAATGGCAATAAACAAATCTTACCTTGTATTTTGCATTCATGGATTGGAAATATATTTATATTCCAATGTTTTTATTAAGGTTTTTAAAATTGAATCGGACAGGGAATCGTTCTAGGGATAGGTTTTTAGGTCGAATGGTCTGACTATTCAGTTCGAATTGATGGTTCGTTTTGACAAAAAAATTAAAAAAAATGGCCAAAAACTATTGTTCATCTGTGTCAGTGGTTCATTGACAAAATCAACGATTTTTTGTAGTTATAGGGTGAAACAAGACCAGTCAGGTGACCAATTCCTAGTTTTTTGGGTAGAACCATGGTGAAGACGATGTGAGGACTATTTTGTGAATATTGAATCCAAACTCAATTTCCAATTTCCGATCCTTGATCATTACAAATGTATCGTTTATACAAATCCAAATTTGCTTCTCACATAACACACCTCACAGCATGTCCTGATCGCATATGAGGAACATATGTTGTCAATACAAAGTGAGACGTGGCCGTAAGGGCTGTGTGAGGCGTGCTCTATACTGCACTCCACCTCATAAATGTAAAATTATAGCCCATCTTATAAACTGCATCCTACCCATAAATTTGACATCAATCTAAGACCAGATTCATCCCACCTGTACCGTAAAGCTAACGCTTTTAGGGGCGGACTGAAACATTAAAATCCCCAAAAGGAAATATGTTACCGTTGTGACTTGTGAGGCTGGCGTCTATACGATAAATTCGTCCTCAGAATCCGCGTGCATTGTGAGGACGAAATCTGATTTCCTATACAACACCACTTTCCCCAAACACAATCCCGAATAGAAAGAATTCGGATCAGCTTCCAACAAGTGATCGCAGCTACACGGAGCCTTTGCTTTCAGGAAATCCTATCTCCCGATCAATTTTCCAACCGGTTAGTGCTTTTTTTTTCTCTGGGGAAGGTGTTTATCGTTTATGGGAGCCGGTTAGTACCGTGAACTGAACTGTGCTGGAGCTGTACATTTCCCAATTCACCCTGCCTGGATAGGGAGAGATATTCTTCGCTCAAACCTTTGAGGTCCACTAGTATTTGGGATGACCTCTCTGGAGATCAGCTTAAGAATCATGCCCATCGGATTCACAACATCAGAAGTTTAATAGCGTCTTTTTCATGGGACAGACTATTCAATTTGAATTGCCAAGTGGCAATACTCACAGCACGCACTGTTTCTGGATTGAAACCTTTGCCCAGTTACACAGACACAGACGAGCGGAGGAGGAGGAGAGAGATTCTAAACATGTCCTCAAACATACACTTGTCTGCGTTCGACCTTTTCAATAAACGAGAATTGAGAAATAACAAAACACACACTTGGTGGAAGCAGAGATGATCCAAGGAACAGAAGTTCTCTCAGTTTTCTATATCCATATTTAACAGCCACATACACTTTCAGATTAAGAAATAAAAAAAAATCATAGATGAAAAAAACTGGGAATTTAATTTGTTTTATAGGTATATTTGGGTATGTTCATATAAGGTTAAAACCTCTCTAAGAAAGATTACCTTTTCTTATTCTAATTAAATCTCTCTAAGCATCTTGAGAATAGAAGTCTATAATCTCCTTAAGATTCAGCTGAAAAAGAGAAGAACAATCATTGTACAACAACCACAGCATGTGTTCGAACAGAATTGCGTCAATATCAACGAAAATCACCCCTTTCTCTTCGTTACCGTCCAACTTCTCTTTCTTCCTCGTCATCTCGAACAGTACCCGAAATGGGTCTTCCTCCAACACAAAACGGTCCACCAAGAACTCCCTCTTCTCCTTCCCAACAATCACAGTCACCGAATTCTCCCCGTCTTCATTCGACAAAGTCCGGTACCCGAGTCTGGACGTGAAAGAACGTCGCCGCAACAGAACCACCGGGAGAACCAAGCAATCCATGCCGATGAATTTCTTCTTCTGCAGAAGCTCGGATTAAATTGTAGGAGATGACCATCAATCGGTGAATTCTAAAGCTTCTTAAAATAGAGAAACTTGGAGGGAGAACTTGTCTTTCAGGGCTCTCTGTTTTGGTGTATACAATCGAATTGCTTGTCTGGAGATGAAAGTGAAGGTGTGATAACGAAAAGCTTGGACTGATTCCGATTGAATCGGTCTCCCAACGGCTCTCGCAAGAGTAGTTTATATATGTTCTGCTTCTCTGAACTTTCTGGTTAATCCGCTGGCGAAAGAGCCATTGGAGTGAGGTAGAATTGGGACGAGTAGAAATTGGAATGTGCAGAATGCGTGAGATAAACCTCAGCATTTCACTAATTCATTAATAACTACCCGTTCATTGCTTTGACTTGGTCATTTAATAGTTTCATCCATTCTGGATCCAACTCTGTAGACCAGGAAAGACAAGATGTGATAGAAGCGTTTAGCAGTTGGCATTATTGATTGGACTGGAGCTGGAAGAGGCCCGCGTCTGACAGGGGGAGTTCGATTTTGACGCCTTGGTGACGTCGGTGGCGCTTCTTCCTTTGCGCGTATCGATCGACTCCGTCTCTCGGTGTCACCGACTGCTTCTCTCTCTCTCTCTCTCTCTCCTTCTTGACCCATTCCCATTTCCTATCTCAAAGAAATCCTTAGTCCTTTGTGGCTTAGTTCCAATTCCCCCAACAGAGAATCGTACTCCCCAAAATTCCAAACTGAAAATTAGTCCTCATCTCAGGGTGTGAAGTATTTGGCACAAATCCTGCAAAAAAGAAATTACCTCCTAGTCAGAGGTAATTAATTCAAGTGTTGATGACCAATATGCGATGCTGATTACATGCTCGGTAGAATGCTTGAAAGGAAACTTGTATCTTTTACTAAAGGAGAAAACATAATTTCTTTTGAGTTGCATTATTTTGATCAAAATTATAAATGCCTAATCTATACGGATGTCTACTAAGCATGACTAATTCACGATTATACTGGATTGAAGGATTATGTTGAAGTTGAAATGTAATGGTAGAAAATTAAAACACCACGGTGGATGATGCCAAATACCATTTTTAATGATCTTTTACCAATACTTCAAATAAGGATAATAATATAATTTGGCCAACTGGGAGGTATTGGAAGGTTAAAGGAACGAGATTGAATATCATAAAAATTTTAAATTGGTTATTGATATATGGCAAATTTAGGGGGTTTCGATGATACAACATACGTATCGCCTAGGGCCACCATAACTTGCCACATGGGTCCCACTTGGCAGAACAAATGAGTCAAATTCAATGATCGGTTAATGGCAGATGAACCTCAAATATACGTAGTCATCTCACTCATCCGCGATAACTATTTGAGGTTAGAGGTCTGCAATCTGCATCTCAGTTAAACACCATGAAGGAGGTCTCGCTGCTTGCATTGCTTACATCATTCATACCAGGTCAAACTCAGTAATGATAATTGATCATCCAGGCTGGCATGCATATTAAGCGTCTGTTTGGAACCGTTACCCTTGTTCCATTAAACAGTGCCACATTAGCGTCATCTAGAAATAAACGGTCCTCTAGAAACAGTTTTTGTTTGGAATCGTTGTTTCATAGAAAACGGTGTTCTAAGCCATGCCTTGGAAATCGGAAAGGCATGGCTTGGAGCAATGTTAAATTTGGCGTTTCTTGGAGCTGCAACTCGTGCTGCCAATAGGGCAGTGATGTGGCAGTGGATAATGGGTAGAAGTGCAGAAAACGTTTCCTGGAGCATTGGTACCAAACAAAAAATGTTGTTGCTCCAAGAAACGTTCTACCTGGCAGCAACGATTCCAAACATAAAAAGGCACCATTTTCTGAGAAAACGGTGCTGCAACTGCAGCATCGATGCCAAACATAGATGTTGCAGATATGTGTGGATTGGAAGCACCAAAATGGTGTCTTTTTTTTGTTTGGAAGCGTTGCTATGAGGTAAGACGTTTTTCTTGGAGCAACAACAATGTTTTTTGTTTGGTACCAATGCTCCAGGAAACATTTTTAGCATTGTTGCTACCATGTCCCTATCACTGTCACCTCATGTTCCTGTTGGTAGCAATGAGTTACAGCTCCAAGAAACACCAAATTCAGTGTTGCTCTAAGCCACACCTTCCCAATTTTCAAGGCGTGGCTTGGAGCACCATTTTTTATGAAAAAAACGATTCCAAACAAACAAACATTTCTTGGAATACCATTTTTTCCGATATAGCGCTAATGTATCGCCATTTTCTAGAGCAACAGCATCAACGCCAAACAAACGCTAAGAGTTTGATCAATTTTGATACTTCCATGAAGGGATTAAGGGGAGAACTAATCAGAAACAAATGGACATGTCCCCTATATATATATATATATATATCAAAACACCCTTCAAACAAACTTTGTGTGGCCGTTACATAACTCAGTCAACCAAGTCCAAGTCATCAACCAACATCTCTCACTTGGCTACACAAAGTATTAGACTTGTGTATATTTTTTAATCTCTTATATACTAGTAATGGAGTGTGCGACCCAACAAGGAAAAATTATCTGAAGTATTACATTATCACCATCTAACTAACATAAAACTGTAACTCTATGTCCGGCCTATACCCTAAATCATTTAATCACACTGGATGTAACACCTCTGATCCCTCTATAGAGTCATGTTAAACCTAACTAATATATTAGGAAAATTCCCAATTAGTATCTTGTACTTTGGCTCGAGTGACAATTTGATCTCCGAACTTTAAAATGCGACAATCTAGCATCTGAACTTTTTAAATGTGACAATCTAGTGCTTGTCGTTAATGGACCATCACTTATGTATATTACGTGACTTTATGTGCGATTTAAGACTTTTGAAAATGTCAGAATTACCCTTAAAAATAAAACACATTGTTCATCATCTTCTTCCTCAAGAAGATGAAACAAAGCCCAAACTCTCTATCACCGAAAGAGAAAAAAAACCATTACTACAATGAAGTTCACCGAGAGAAAAAACTAGTTAAGTGGGAAGATGAAAGAAGACGGCCCCATTATTATTTCTTGAACCTTGACGGTAAAAATTGAAACAAAAAGCTTTTCTTTTCCCCCCACCGAGTGAAGGATCTTCTAGTGAAGCTTCAATGTGTGGTAAACTTTGACGGTCTATATACAAATGTAATTAGCGGAGGCAATGTGTCATCTTGATTAGTTCAGCTTCAGCACCATTTTTCCATTCTGGTTGCAATAGTGACGATGGAACGAGAGAGGGGGAGGAAGAGGAGGGGCAGCGAAGAAAAACCTCTTTTGAGCTTCATACCACCCTCTCCCTCTCACCTAACTTCTCTCTCTCTCTCTGCATCGTTTTCTTCTCTTTGTATCTCTGCTATTCGGTTTATCATCTCTTAGAGGGAAAAATTAAAAGGGATGAAATGGTTTTGATTTTAGTGAATGGTTGATAAAAAAATTAGATAATACTTTAAAGGCATTTGTGTCTATTCACATGCCACTTAATGGCTGGTTAACGGCAAGTACCAGATTGTCACATTTCGAAAGTTCAAGTATCGGATTGTTGCATTTTAAAGTTTATGGACCAAATTGTCACTCAAACCAAAGTACATGATACTAATGGGGAATTTTCCCTAATATACTTGTAATCATGATTGCATCGAAATAACCGCTCGAGCTATGAATCACAAACCACAAGTGTGATTTCAAATGACTTTTCCTTAGACCCTCATACATAGTAGTCCATCTAATGCTTGATTGCTTTCTTAGACATGCTCCATTGGATTATATCAATTACAACCCTTGGATGACACCCTAAAGTAGAAACACCAAGCATCGACTTCATGCTATAGTTCTAAGTCCCAAATGCTTGATTGCTTTCTTAGACATGTTCTGTTGGACTGTATCGATCGTGGCCCTTGGATGACACCCAAAAGTAGAAACACCAAGCATCAACTTCATGTTACAGTTCTAAGTCCCAAATGCTTGATTGCTTTCTTAGATATGCTCGATCGTGGCCCTTAGATGACACCCAAAAGTAAAAACACCAAGCCACGACTCCATGCTATAGTTCTAAGTCCCACATGCTCGATTGCTTTCTTAGACATGCTCTGTTGGACTGTATCAATCATGGCCTTTGGATGATTAATAGTCAAATCAAACCCTACATCAATAGTCGAATCAAACCCTACCTTTTGCATGGAAGTTCACAAGTGGGCAATTCTTCTTGGAAGTTCACAAGTGGGCAATTAATCGCATTTATTTAGGTTGTGTAACTCAATAGTATGATTTTGATTTTTCAAGAAAAAAAACTATTGTCACATCAAAATAATCATACTAAAAAAAATTATACATATTGGTAAAACACCCCCTTATAAATCATTTAACCATTGAAATTTTGAATTATTTTTACATCTGTCCAAGGGTAAAGTCCACCCATCGAAATTAAGCACTTATTAGTGTTTGAAATATACCTGAAATAAGTGTTTATTTTTAAAATAAGGGCCTATATTTTAAGTCCAAATTTCTAGCTTTTTTTAAGTGTTTATTGTACTTATTCAATTTTTTCTTCCAAAATTATCCCTAGTTGAATTTTAAAATACCACTTATAAAATTATCCCTGGTTGAATTTTATAAACATGCTTTCATAAAAGTCTTTTTATTATAGTGCTTCATAAAAGTGTTGCTTTCATAAAAGTGATTTCATAAAAATACTTTCATAAAACTGTTTTCATAACAAAAGTACTTTTATAAAAGTGCTTTCACAAAATTTGAAAAAAAAAATAAAGGACAAAAATAGTGACAAATTCTTATTTAAGTGCTTATTGGAGAAAAAGACTACCACATGCCCAATATGAAATAAATGCTTATTTTTTAAAATAAGCACTTGAAAAAATTGAATGCCAAATACAAATAAATGCCTATCCGAATAAGCATTTATTCAATAAGCACTTTTTTTAATATAAACACTCCCAAACATACCAAAGTTTCAAATTATTATTATCATAGGTAATTATTATAGATGTAAAGTAATATAAAAAGTTTCAAATCGTTCCAAACTGATAATAACAATTCACTATAGATGTAAAGTATAATTGGTCAGTTTATATAACCAAGTCCGAACCAGACCCGACCAATTGACAGCTCTTTCAATTGAGATGATATGATGATGTTGATTTTTGTGTGAGCATTCTCTGAAATGAAACTCAATCAACTTCGGATCCTTGTGATACCAGAATTCTTGTGATGATCTCAAACAAGGATTACTAATCTCTTCGTCGGGTGGTAGGTTTGTGTCAATTTTTGCTTATTGGATATGGAAACTACTTTTAACGCAAGGAAAGTATCAAATTGAGTAACCTGTTGTCCGATGTGGCCGGATCCGGACTCGATTAGAGTAAATCAAAAAATCGGATTATAATGTGACATAGATACCGTCATATATAAATATGTATTTTCCTCTAGGATTTGACCTCTAATCCAACTTGAATACATTTAAAGGATCCGGTATAAAATTACTCCATAAGATCCAACAAAGATCCGCACCTGCTTTCCACTTGGATGTGGGATGGGGTCCAAGTCCAATCTATCCTTTTTTTCTTTCCTTCCTTTTATGGACCAAACCCGAGAACGCAGATTCCTAATTGCAGAGACGCAAAACCCTATAAAGATTAGAGAACAGTCATCTGGTGGCCCAGAAAGGTGTGTTACTATCGCAGGGAAATTGGATCGACCTCCACGTGTTCTTTCCAGTTCATAGTTCAAACCATTGAACACAACTTCCAGTGCCGAGGTTATCTCTGCAATCCTTTCTGTTACAGTTCTCAAAAGTGAAAACCTAACAAGGAGAAAAATAAGATATGAACAAGCTTGGAGGAACTTCTAAGCTTCTAATCGTTTACGTGTTCATAATCTCTTCTCTAGTTATATCCACATTTGGAGATGAAGCACATCAGGAAGAACACCAGTTAGAAGGACAAAAGCCAAATGCTGCTGAAAGAGCCATTGGAATCAGAGATATTATAAGCCCCTGGCACAAATTCAGATCTTTAATTAAAATAGCTTGGTTGAATTTCAGGCCCCCAGATTCACAGTAACTCTCTCTCTCTCTCGCTTATTTGTTCCTATCTTCTTCTCTTTCTGGCAATACTTTCTTTATTTCTGAAAGAAAAAATGAAAGAAAAGATAAGTATTGATGTGGGTTTCCTTCATTTTGTTCTCTTTGTTCTGCTATTGTGTAGGAAAATTACGGAGACTCCACATAGTGCAAGTGAGGCGATGAAAGATGCCGCTGCTAAGAGTTTTAAAACAACTACAGAAACTGCCAAAAATGCCGCTAAAGTCGCCGGAGATGCAGTTCACAAGACCGCCGATAAGTTGAAGACGAAAGTATCGGGCTCCGGAGGACACGAAGATGAACTGTGACGCTGGGATGAGTTCACCTTTTCCTCTTATTCTTTTCAGCCAATCTTGTGTGATCTATCGTGTATGTGCTTAGACAATATGCAAATGGTTATGGTGTATTTCTATGGGGAAAAAACAATCAAACTTTTTAATTTCTCCTTTTATTATATGCTGTAGTATATTGTTTCACCGTGAAGTGCTTCTTTATTTTATATCTGTTGTGGAGGGCCGGATGAGTGGGGGGTTAAGGGGTTGTCTTCCAAATTCTTGTGACATTTGCTAAGGGTGCTACATGAATTGGATTGGTTCATGAATCATGAATCATGCTAAAGTAAACTGTAAACAAAGAAGATTGGTTGGGCAGTTGGGTTTTGGGTCTAGGGATTAAATAACTTCAGATTTTTTGGGCATCTACATGTTAAGAGCTGGGCTTATTGTTCTTGATAAATTCTTTATGTCTCAACTGTTTATTTTGGGGAGAAACAGAACAGAAATTACAAGACCTAATTAAGTGAAGCAATTAAATTGTTTGGAATTGGATTGTCAATGAGCCCAAAGTAATCAGCTTAAGTCCATGTTCTTTAGTTGAAATCTAATGCAATAATGCTGTGGTTTTTAATTTTTACTAATTTATACTTTACATGTTTTTATATATTGTATTTGTTCAGATTTTGATTTTCTTCTTTTTTGTTTTCACTCTGTGTTTGGTTTGAAGGAAAAAGTAGGGAAATGAAAGGAAAGGCAAAGAAACCTATACAAGGTTTGTAAAGGTTTCCCTACCTTTCCTTACTTTTTCCTTCAAATCAAACATAGCCTAAATATGCTTCAACGTAAAATGGACGGGATTTTTTACAAGCTTAAATATTTCAGCTATAGTTTTACAAACTGTGTTTTACATCAAAACAAATTAGGAGGCTGGAGACATGGATAACAATGATTTCATTGTGAAGAGAGCAAAAATAAAAGTTTTTGAACTAACAATTGGACCAATCTATTCTATAATTCTTCCCACTACCTTTCATGAGAAAATGATCCCACAAATAAAAGAATCCTTTCGGTAAGTTTGATCTTTGGATATGATCCGATCCGACTTGTTTTCTTTAGAAATTAATAAATTATTAAAAGAAAAATAAAATATACTAATTTAATAAAATAAAAACAAAAAATACAAGTATTTTTTTTATTATTTTCATCATATATATGCATGTTTTTTTATAAAAAATAAATAATATAACAAATTTATAAAAATATAATATAAAAAATATATTTATATTTATAAATATATAATATATAACAGATCGGATAGGGATGATCTGAATCCGATCCAATTTCTTATCAAATCCTATTATCCGATCTAAAACTCCGAACAGGGGCGATCCGAATTTGACCAAATAAGATTGAATCTCTGATCCATTTGCACCCCTACCAATTGTCTTCTGCATCTCGTTCATTTTCCATTCGTTTGGAATCACATGCTCTATTACTCGAGATAACTTGACAAGTTTTGATTATTAGTCATTCAAATCTATGATGTGGAAACTAAGGAAGTTTTGATTCATATTTTCTTATACCATGTGTTGTCCTTATCTTACACTCAAAACCATACATTTTGGATGTTTAAGTAAGTTTTTTTTTTTTTCAAGTCAATTTTAAAAGAAAATTGAACTTTAGGCTATGTTTGGTTTGAAGGAAAAGGAAGGAAAAGACAAGGAAACCAATACAAGGGTTGTAAAGGTTTCTCTACCTTTCCCTTCCTTTTTCTACATTTTCCTTCAAATGAAACATAGTTTTAGAGAGCAATTAACTTGCTAATCCATACTGATAATATATATATATATATAGCATTGAAGACTGAATGATATTTCTACGGGATGCAAATTTCAAGCTGTCTCCAATATAACATTTTAGTAAATCCATAATATTATAGGGGTGTTTCAATCTAATCTAATAAATATTTTGGACTGGGTTGGTCCAATTTAATATATCTTCTTGATCCGTCCAATCTGCCCAAATTGATTTTAGATTAGACGGGGTCTAATTCAAAACTGGTCCATTGACACCATTAGTTTGATACCCATGTTCGGAAATGTATATTTGTGGGGTATCCATACGTGCAAAAGGGTTATCAAGTTTATGATTTGGCTACTAAACCACTTTCACCTCACAAAATGTAGTCTTTTATGAGAATCAATTCTCGTTCCAAGAGTTATGGTCCTCGGTTCCACACCTCTATCATTCCCTTGACTTTACTCCTCCACTAGTTCAAACTGCCACATAGCCCATCAGATCTGATTTTTAGATCATTGAATTACAAACCACTGAGTATGCCCACGATAATGGGCATGGGCTTATAGTTGAAACTTCACTTTCTTTACATCCTATGCCAGACCTGCAAACAACCCACAGTCACACGCCTCAATGATTAGCAATGTTGTTTGCCACCTTTTCTTGACCCCATAGTCAACACCACAGTTCAGCCCATAACAATAGATCCACGATCAATAGTTGATCCCACTTCCTTTGTATAGGCTATACAACATGCCCACTGGCGTAAGGACATGGTTGAAGAGACTGAGGCTTTATAGAATAATCAATTAATCACACATGGTCTATAGTTGAATTACCACTGGGTCAAAATGGGTATACAAAGTTAAGTTTCTGATAGATCTATAGAGCGTTACATGGCTTGTCTTGTGGCCAAAGGGTATAGTCAAGTAGAGTGTCTTGGCTAGTTGGCTACCATGATACCTATGCCCCTACTTATTGTAATTATTAATGTGTTGATGTTTAAGAAGCAAGGGATGAGTATAACTCATCCATAAATTAATGCCCAAATGCCCAGAAGTCATGAGACCAACCCTTGTTCTCTCCCTGACTAAGCATATTTTAGATGGGTTGACATTAGGGATGGGATAGTATAGCTCATGAGACCAACCCAGTTGTGAATGTTGTCATATCAAGGGCCAATTAGTAGGTTGTACTTATTAGAAGGCACAAGCTGACTTGCTGGTAATTAAATTCTCTAGCTGGTTGAGTGGAGACATAGGATCGAGTCCCAACTGCAAGGTCAAGAATCTTCTACCAAGCCTCATATAGCCTCTTGAATTAAGATCTGTTGCTGTGAACAAGGATATATTTTCAAGATAAATTAGGAGACTCCTAAGCAAACTAAGTACTTGGGCGCAAATTGTAAGAGCAAAATATTTTAGACAAGGGAGTCCTTTCCTTGCTAGAGCTAAGGCAAATAGCTCTATGTGGGGGAGAAATTAAAAATGGTCAAAATTTTGATTGAATTTCATCCTTACATAGCATGGTTTAGCAAAGATGGATCTCATGTGAATGTCCTTATAAATCCAAGGACCATGCTCACCTCAGGATCAACAATGATTTCAATTGAAAACACACAAAATAATCCCAATTTATAGACTAAGAAAGTTTAAGATCTCTTAAACATCAATAGTCAATGAGCAATGATCATATTCATTATTATCCTTATAAGACCCCCAAATTTGCCAAATTTTTACTCCCCTAGCTAGTCGATTGAAGCTCTATATATCCCACTCCATATTGGAATTTTCAAAGTGAGAAAAACCATCAAAATTTCATAAATTGAACTCAGTCCAAACCAAACAGTTGAAATGGTAAACCGGTGACCCACTATCCATATGGAAAATCTATATTAGACTTTTTATTTGATTAAATAAGCTTAGATATAATTTGTAATTAGCAATCCATTTTAACTTTAGATGAAAGAATGTACCCATGCTAGTGTGTGTATTGAAAGCCTTTTTGTTGACCACTACTTAATTGGTATCCATCAGAGTTTCTTTTTTTTTTAAATCATCAGAAAGGAAATCTAACATTTTGGATTTGGTTTACTCTTATGTGTGTGGATCCATTGAGGTAAAACCTATTGGTGGAAACTTGTATTTTATTATTTTCATAGACAATGCATCTAGAAAGGTATGGGTTTACTTCTTTATGGCCAAGGGTTTCCAAATATTTCAAAAGTTTCATGCAAAGGTGGAAAAGATAACTTTTCAAGCTTCTAAAGTGTCTTCGTATAGATAATCGGGAAAATATACATCAAATTCATTTAAATATTATTGTGCTAAACATGCATTGCGCATGAGCTAGACACTCCTCAACACAATGGTGTGGTAAAGAGAATGAATCACACCATTATAGAGAAAATCAGAATTATGCTATCTATGGCCAATTGCCTAATCAATTTTGGGGTGAAGTAGTTAAGGCATACTATTGTTTGATTTATAGATCACTTTTAGTTCCATTCAATGGGCATATTCTTATATGCATGTGCTCAAAGAACATAGATCCAAACTTGATGACAAGACTGCCCATACATTTTCTTAGGCTATAAAAATGAGGAGCTTGGGTACAAACTTTGATCGAGTTCTAGAGAAGAGAATGATTTAAAGAAGCAAAGATGTGGTTTCTATGAAGATTAAACAATTAAAAACTTTGAAAGAGGGAGAGATGCAAGAGGAACTGGAAAACAAAAACAATGAGCCAGAACAAGATGTTAAGCAGGGGAGCAGCCCGCTCAAGAACATGTAGAGCATCAAGTAAGAAGGTCTACAATGGAACGTCAACCATCACAAGGTACTTTGCATCTAAATTTGTCTTACTTATTGAGCATGGAGAAACAAAAAACTTCAAAGAAACACAATCTCACGAGGACAAGAATCATTGGATGAAAGCTATGCAATAAGAAATGAATTATTTGTACAAGAACAATACTTATGAGTTGGTTCAGCTTCCTCATTGTAGAAAAGCTTTGAACAATAAGTGGGTGCTTAAATTAAAAAGGGAAGGCAATAATAAGCAAGTGAAATGCAGAGCTTATTTAGTTGTAAAGGGCTTTAGCTAAAAGAAGGGAATTAACTTTGATGAAATTTTTCCATTGGTCGTGAAGATGTCTTCCATAGGAATTATTTTAGGTCTACCAGCAAGTTTAAACTATGAGATTGAGCAGTTAGATGTTAAAACTACTTTTTTTAATGGGGATTTGAATGAAGAAATTTAAATGGAACAGTTAGAAAGATTTAAAGTTAAAGGTGTAGCACTTGATTTGTAAATTGAAGAAAAAGTCTCTATGGGATGAAGCAAGCAACAAGACAACAGTATAAGAAATTAGACTCATTCAAGGTGGGTCATTATCCTTGTGTTAGAAACGTTTCCAATGGCAATTTCTCTACCCTTCTTTATTTTGATGATATGCTTATTATTGGCCAAGATGTTAATGTTAATTTGGTTGGATGGTTAAAGAAAAAATTGTTCAAATCCTTTGGCATGAAAGATTTAGGAGTTGCACATTATATTATTGGTATGAAAATTATTTGTGATGGGAAAGCCAAGAAGTTGTGACTATCACAAGAAGCATATGTTAAAATAGGTACTTGAAAGATTTAACATCAAGAATAAAAAAGAAGTCAATATGCCATTTGCTAACAATTTCAAATTGAGTAAGAAGATTTGTTCCATAACTCAAGGCAAAAAAAAAATAAAAAAAAAAAAGAGATAGTGGTTATTCCTTATTCTTCTGCAGTAGGTACTTTGATTGTATGCTATGGTTTGCACAAGGCCTAATATTGCTCATACAGTTGGGTTGTAAGCATATCTTGCTAATCCGAAAAAAACAACATTTGGAGGCAATCAAGTGGATTATTCGATGATGTTTGGCATCGATGCAATTTCCCAGAAATCAGCACCACGATAGATCCACATCAGCCATGGAAGAATCACTGATTATAATCCTATTTGGTTGGTCAAATCTACTAATTTCTAGGAAATTTATAGAAAATTGATCCCTGAAATCGGTCCTGGGTGAGGGATCACTATTTTCAGTGATTCTGATTTTTCTAGGGTGATGTGGCATCCAACATGGCAGGGGAGAATGCGATCCTTCACAAATTCACTGTTACTCCCTCGTTGAAAAAAAAAAAAAAAACAGCCCTAACTTCACATGGGCTCACAGACAGTCAGAGCTTGGAAACTGCCGCTGCCAAGGTATGCCTGCAATTTTCAGGTTCCAACTGATCCTAAACTTCTTGTACATAACTAGTTTGGAAGATCAACCACCACCTGTACATTTTAACTCTTCGACTCCCTATATCTCCTTTTTTACTCTTCGAATCAAATTTTTCCACCCTTTCATTTGCTATTCTAAATTCTAATTGCATAACTTTATTCTATTTGTACTTATGTTATCATTATTATTATTATTTGATAAACAACAGTACAAAATTATTTGTTGTCATGGGAACTTCATCCTATCCAAAGTTTTGGATAACCAGATGCAAATATCCATTATTCTGAATGCCCCTGTTCATTTCCTAACACTTGAGATTCACAATTCACACTCTGGCCTAGGCATTCCTCATGCAAGATTTTCTTTTGTAAGTCACGATTTAGCTAAGGAATCAGCTAGGCTTTGCCTGATTTAGATGTCCATTGGACAAAGCATTCAGGTTGGTAGCCAGATGATGGAACACCATGTAATCACTTTGGTGCAAGCCTCAGGCTCACCCAATCAAACCAGTTCATAACATTCCCTCACCCCCTTATTGGCTATTGTCTATTGGTAAACCTATATTTAGGAGTCAGTGGTGGTTATTTTTTGTGAGATAATGTTACATTGTAGATTAAATTGTTAAATAAGCTAAGAATCAAACAGGATTCTTTCCCTTGGATTCATTCCCTTTGGTTCTAGTACCTTTTGAAAAGTAACAAACACTCAATAGTAGTGTAGTTTAGTGCAGAAATAGAATATAGAGACATGGTTTATGTTGAGTTACTTTGGATAAATTCCTTGCTTGGGAAACTTGGAATAAAGGTAAAAGAGCCTTTGAGACTTTATTGTGACAATCAAGTCACCATTAACATAGCTCACAATCCAGTACAACATAACCAAACTAAACACATAGAAGTGGATAAACACTTTATTAGGGAGATAGTTACATCTGGTGAAATGGTCCTATCTTATGCTGCCTCTCACTTACAACTTGCTGACGTGTTTTCAAAGGGAGATACAAAGAATACACTTGGGATCTGCTATCCACTAGTTCCCACATCCATACCCACACAGCACCGCCACCGTGTATTGGGAGCATCTCCCCATGAATAAGAAAGGAGATATTCCCAATGTGCACCTGTCATGTCTCACGGGTAGAGATGAGAAAACAGCTCGTGGGTAGCAGATCCGAGCCCCAAAGAATAAGCTGTAGAATGACATTGGCAAGATCTACCCAGAGGGAGTGTTGAGTTTGCGGGCTTCATGTTCATTCAACCAATATGTTTATATAATGGGCCTAATGGGCTTTATGTTTATTGGCTTTAGTTATTTTTTAGTTATTATGTTTAATCATTGGACCTTTAGCTATTGGGCCTACGTTGTGTCATACTGTCATTAGAAATCTTGTTTTTATGTTTGGGATCACAATTATGGGGCAGCTGAAGAGACATTTTGCCTCCCTTCTTTAATTCATTTCTTCGTTCTTTTCTTGTTCAAAGCTTATTTACTTTGCAATTTTACTACTGTTTAGTGAGTTGTACAAATTACAACCCTCAAACTCAAAGTGGCATCATGCATTAGCGATCAATGATATATGAAATAAATTGAGCCAACCCTTTGCACGTTGCAATGAAATAGTGAGATGGATGCAAACTTTGAACAAATTTAGGATTTGATAACTGAAGTTGCTGAACTGAAAGGCTAACTGTTTTGTCTTTTAGTGGATAAAACAGTTAAATAATAAATAATGGATCATTTACTTAGACCCTCTTACAGTCAATAATTTGATTATTAGATAGACACCCCCATATAGTTTGCAATTACTTGATTGAATTCTATTTGTCGGAGAATGGGCATGTGACCTCTTAAAATGAGGAGAATGTGAAAGGGCATGGATCCAAGGTCTTTATTCTGAAAATACCACTAGCAATTCTAATATCATATAGACTCCACGCCTCTAGACCAAATGTTCAGGCCTCAGGGAGATTTTGTTTCTAAAGCTCAGTTTGGAAAGTGTACAAATGCAAATATGTACAATGCAAACACATACAAAATTTAAGGTTTTGCACTATACATATTTGCATTTGTACTCCTTCCAAACTGAGCCTAAAAGATTGATATACAAACTAATAGGGGTGTTTTTGAAATAAGAAAAAACCATGGAGCTATGTCCTTTCACATTTTCCACTCATTTTAAGAGAACTGGCCATTCCCAGACGAAAATATAAATGATTCTTAACCAAAGATCAATTACGTAAAGCAATTGTAAATTATGGGGTAGTTTTTGTAACACGCAAACTTGAGTTCAAGTTATTAGTAATTATGTGAAACTATAGGGGGTAAGTAAATGGCCTTAAAATAATTAAGGGTATAGCAGCATACCAAATTTCAGTTTCAGCCGTTAAGAAATATACAACCTCCTTAAAATCTTATTCACTAAAAGACAAAGTAAAAAGTTTTTCAGTTCAGCCACTTCAGCTGTCAACAAACTGTCCCTTGGTTTCCGAATACATCCCTAAACCACCAATAAAAGCACTTCGAACTCCATAATACAAGAATCAAACAACTCAATGAAATCTAGAAGTTCACCTACCATATAATACCAAAAAATAACCTGCGCATGTAAGAACCAAAACCAAAACTGCAAGGCCTATCATACCCTAAAGAGCTACAACCACAAATAAATCCAGGCCATTTGCAGCATTTGGAACTCAAACATGGGTTTGAGTGAAGCCTACAATTCTGAAGATTAAGTAGGTGAATTAAAAAAATTACCATGAAACCTATCACAAAATGAACTACATCTGCCGGTATGAGAACATGTAACAGCCAAAGTTCACATAAATGAAATAAAACAAATTCAACAAATGGACTTGAAGAAACAATGTCCTCAATGGGACATGTTCCAATCTCAGGTGAGGATGCGCCTTACCAGCTCAAGGAATGATGATTCACATTAGGCCTACATCTGTAGGAGCAGAGAGCCATTTGCCATACACCCTCAGCAACCTTGTACTTGGACCAGCGGAGTCAATCAAATAACACTCGGAACTTCTTCTCCATTTGTTAGACACCTCTAGTTAACATGTATCTGATAAATATTGAACTTAGATCAATACCCTGAATAAGGTCAGCATCTTCATGTCTGAGGATTTGTAGAGTGAGATGTCCCCCAGCAGCCAATAGATGAGTATGCCGGCATGCCGTTAATGGACGGGCCAGTGTTGTTGCATGGTCCTGATCCTCGGTTAAGAGGACTATCAGGTTCACCAGATGACTCACTTGAGGTACCCTGAGAGGGGGGACTGCCTGTTCCAACTGGTGCCCCTAAGCCTACCATCTGTGATGCTGAGGTGGGCTCTCGTTTTGACAAATCTGAGTTTGATTTTTTCCCTTCTGCAATAAAGCTGCCTACGACAACCTGGTATACGGTCAAAAAGGAATATTTGGTAACTAATACATAGACTTGTTAAAAAGCAATTCAGGACAAATATGTCAGAAAGATACCTGTACTGGGGTTGCTGCCATTAGCATTCCTGCCACTCCACCACCCAATACTCGACCATCTGATCCTGCCAATGATACACTCAAACCACCAGTCCTGCTGCGGGTTCCACCACTCTCTGTAAGTAAAAATGAACCTGATAGAGAGATTATCTCAAATCTTCCCTGCATTAACCATAGTCCAAATGGCTAGTAAGGGGAATTTGGTAAATTAAGAACAATTAAAAATAAGCTTATCCTTGTACAAAATCATAATCATGGATTCACATTAAGATAACTATCAAATAAAATGAAGGATTCACATTAAGCTATTTGGTCAGAACAAAGAGATCCAAAATACTGCATAAGAAATCATTTTACATAGCATTATCTGAAAATAGATCAGGTGCTTCTTTTGATCCCAAAACTGTTTATGGAAAAAATGTTGATTGTAGAAATAGTGGCATGCCAGATTGATCAAACAAAATGGTGGGGTGCGGTGTCAACAAATTTGCAATGGAATAATGAATTCAAATAATGCTCTTTTTCCAAACATATTTCATTACCCTTAAATTTCAGCTTTTTTTTTTTGCTTTTTTTCTTTTGATCAACAACAAAAATATTTCATTAATCAGAAATGAAAAAAATAATACATCTCTTGGGTAGCCTCAGCTACCCAGCCAAGTTAATTTATTTGTTTAAACAAAGACCAACCCTTTTTCTTCTTACATTACAATTGAGCCCAAAAAGATTGCCCTCCGTCAACCCCTTGCTTTGCTAGCTGATCCACTAGGCTGTGTGCCTATCTTGGTACCCATTGTATTGTTACTTGCATGTCTCTGATTTTAGAAGAAAAACAGTCCCAAAAATAAACAAAAAACTGATAAAGAGAGGAAGAAACAGAGAAGACAGCCAGAGAGAAGAGAAGAGAAAAAGAGACGATGGAAGAGAAAGGGATGAAAGAGATGAGATGTCCGTACTCTCTCCCTTCCTAATCTTTTAATTAATTAGGTTAATCACTAAATAACAGTAAATTACAAGTAATCCCTTAGTGGGGCAGCTGACTAATTAAAACAAGACAAAATAAAGCTAGCTAATACTAAACAGGATCATAAGAAAAATAACCATTAACTAACAGATAGAATATAAAAGATAACTGTGCGTTATGGGCCATTCGGCCCATCTTCTTCCCCCAAAACTCTGGATGGCATACGATTGATTAGGTATGTTGCTGTGAGAACAGCATCCCCCCCAAAACTTTGTAGGAACATGTGAAGCAAACAAAATGCTTCTTGCAACTTCAACTACATGACTATTCCTCTCAGCTACTCCATTTTGTTCTAAAGTATGAACACAAGAGCTCTGGTGGATAACCCCAAAGTCAGTGAGATACGTAGTGAGGTTTTTCTCAAAATATTCCTTTGCATTGTCAAACCGAAATATCTTGATTCTTGTATCAAACTGGGTAAGAACAAATTCATGGAATTGTTTCACGAATTTGGGAACCTCATCATGAGATCTCATCAAAAATAACCAAGTATACCGAGAAAAATCGTCAATGAATAAGATAAAATATCGATAGCACCCATAAAAGGTAAGTGGTACGGTCCCCACACATCGGAGTGCACAATATGAAAAGGAAAAGTGGATCTTTTAGTACTCAAGGAATAAGTATTTCTACAATGTTTTGATAACTCACATGCTCACAATGAAGACTGGACATATTTATTCCTTTGAACAATTCTGAAAATAAATGACTCAAAGCAGAAAAGGATAAATGACCCAAATGTAAATGACATAACATAATACGGCTAAATGGGTCTAAAGAAGAAGACCCATAAGCAACTCTCTCAAGTTGTCATTGGCTTTGCCTAGGAGTATCTAGCAGATATATTCCATTCACCTCATAGCCACTCCCAATCATTCTCTAAGACTTAAAGTCCTGAAAAGCACAGTAAGAAGGAAAAAAGGTTATACTATAGTTTAAGGATTTGGTTAGGCTGCTCACTAACATCAAATTAATGTGCAACTTAGGGACGTGAAAGATAGAAGTGAAAGGGAGTCGATGGCCTTGATGACTCCCTTGCCAGAGATAGGAGCAAGAGAGCCATCGGCCAAGGTAATCTTATCACGGCTAGAAAGTGGGTCATAAGAACTAAACAAGGTAGATAAGCTGGTCATATAATCAAAAGCTCCAGAATCTATAATCCAAGGGATTCTACGATTACCTGAGATGACTGCAAGGTTGGCAGTAGCTCGTATACCTGATTGAGAAAATGCAAAAGAAGTTGGACTGCCTGAAGAGTTGGAGGAAGCAGCTGCACTCCCAAGATGGCAGATCATCCTTCCATATTTCTCGTACTCAGCCTTCATTACAGCTAACTGCTCACTAGCAGCCTTCTCATCAATTGCACTCCTGTCATTATCTGGAACTATGGCTGCATTGGCATTCCCAGTCTTCCCATTTTCGGCCTTCCTTTTAAAACAAGGTGGAAGAAGGTCTAGATGCAGCTTCCAACATGTATCCTTGATATGTCTTGGCTTCTTACAATATTCTCATATAACCTCCTTCCCTACAATCACCTTAGGTTTAAGCCCCATATTAGAAAAATGGTTAACTGGAATTTCCCCTTGAACCTGAACCTACCTCCTACTCTCCTCACTGCTCACCATGGCATAAGCCTGAGACAAAGATACATTGTCTTTAGCTAGGATATTCTGCCTGGTAATGTCAAATTTTGGATTCAACCCTGTCAGAAATTCAAAGACTCTATTCCTTTCAACCAATCTCTTATATGTTTCTATGTCCTTTGTACTTTCCTAGACAACAATATCCATGAGATTTATCTCTTGCCACAAGGATTTCAGCATTGAGAAGTAGACTGCTAAAGGTTTCTCCCCCTACCTCAGATTATTCTCATCACTTCTTAACTTATATGATCTCGCCACATTTAATTTTTGTGAATAGGTTTCAACAACACTGTCCCATATCTCCTTAGCAGAATTCATCCACAGATAGTGCTAACTAATTTGGGGTTGCATAGAATTCAATAACCACCCAATAACAGTGTAATTTTCTTGCAACCATTTTTCATGAGACGGGTCATCTTCCTTTAGTGCTTTCTTGCTACCGGAAATGTATCCCCACTTGCCTCTACTGCAAACATGTATCTTTACTGATTGTGACCATGCTAGATAGTTAGTCCCATAAAGCTTGACTATGGTCACAACCAATAAAGAGTCTACAAGTGCTCCTGGAACCTAGTGGACACTAAGCCAACCTTATTTTCAATTCTAGAACCACCCATCCTCCTCAAAAAATCCCAAAACAATCTTCAAATGGCAAGAGGCAACTGGCTGGGATCCGGGACTATCATCTAGGGCTTTAAGAGCCTCTCCTTGGAAGTCCATTCATGCCATCCTTTAGTCTTTGTTTCCCTTCATCAGGTATGATCTTGGTTCTGGTTTGTCGGTAAATTTTTGGGAACACACTTGGGTGGGGGATTTTCCTTTGAAAGAGCAGTTCCCCTCCTTGTATGCTCTGTCTAGATTTAAAAATGAACTAGTAGCAACCTTTGCTACCTTGTCTAATTCTGCTATTGGTTGGAACTTGGGTCTTAGAAGGGCTCTCAGAGATTCTGAGTTGGAACCCATTTCAAATTTGCTTAAAATCTTGGATGAGGTAGCTCTTGAACCTTCTAGTGTGGACTCTAGGGTTTGGTCTCTTGTCCCTTCGGGTATCTTCTCCCGCTCCTCTTTTTTCAAAGCATTGACACAGCCTAGTTCGGTACCTGGGTCTTCTTTTCTAGTCCGGGAAGTTTGGGGTAGCCCTATCCCTCCTAGGGTAGGTGCTTTTTGTTGGGAAGCAATCCTAGAAAAGTGTAACACTTGTGACATACTTCAAAAGAAAAGGCCTAATTGGTGTTTATCTCCGCATTGGTGCATCTTATGTAAGAAGAATGGTGAAAGCTATTATCACTTACTTGTTTCTTGCCCTTTTGTTTCAGAGATTTGGTGTTGGTTCTTTTCTTTATTTGGTTGCAAGTGGCCCTCCCCTTCAAGTGTGCAAAGCTTGTTCAGTTCCACTCCAGTGAGGGGTTTAAAGAAGAGAGGTAAAATTTTATGGAGATGTGCTAGAGTTGCTATTTGTTGGACGGTCTAAGAAGAAAGAAATCAAAGATTATTTCATGACAAAGAAAAAAGCAAGGAAGCCCTTATAGAAATTGTTTATGTTAGGGTGGCACACTGGGTCAAGTCTTTGAAGCTTTTTAAAGCCTATTCAGTAGGAGACATCATTAGAAACTGGGAAGAAGTGGCTCAGTCAGCTCCTATGTCTAGTACTATTAGACCTGTTTGGACTCCACCACATTTGGGTTTCATCAAATTGAACTTCGATGGTAGCAGTGAAGGTAATCCAGGCCCTTCAGGCATAGGTGGTATTTTCAGGGATGAAGAAGGTCGAATTATTGCTATGTTCTCAGGATCTATAGGCTGGGGGGATTCTCTAAGAGCTGAAATCCTGGCAGTTCTAGGAGTAAAAAGAGCTAAGCAGTTGAATATTAGTCAGCTGCTGGTGGAAGGAGACTCTCAACTGACTGTTAGTTGGTTGCAGAAGGAAGAGTCTAGCCTGTGGAAGTTCTCAAATGAAAGAATGAAAATCAAGTAGCTAACTCAGAATATGATTGTAAGGGTTCAATGGGCCAAGAGGAGCACTAATTCCATTGCTGACACCTTGGCTAAATAGGGGGTGGGAAGATCTAATTTCTTTTGGGCTATATTGTAATAGGTGTTTTCAGTTTTGTAAGTGAGGGTTAAGATATCTTACCCTTCCAATCTGGTTGTAATTTTCATATATTTTTAATAAAATTACTGTTATTGATCAAAAAAAAAAAAAAAAAAAAAAAAAGAGAAAACAACAAGTACCAACCTTCACAGATCCCCAACAGTAGAACTATTCCTTGCCCGATACCCGGGAGAAACTAAGAACTGGCAATCGCTCCTTGTAAACTTCACAAAATCAATCTCTGCTTGGACCAATCTTCAAGAGAACTACAAAGAACCCCTTCAACCACTAAGCACCAAGGTGAAACCTCCTATGGGACCCGCAATCAGAAATCTCCAGTTGTCTAGGGTTTTGGGCAAATTTTCAAAAAAAATTGTTTTGAAGAATAAACAGAGTATCTTCT